ATTTATCTAAACTTCTTCAATGGCAGATGTTATGTCAAGCAAAATAAAAACATGTGGATGGAAAAGACCTGCATATTGATTAATTATTTCTTAATTAACTATTATGTATTCCAAGAAACACAGATATTCTCTTTCGTGATTACAAAGAAAGTTAAGAGCTAGAAAATCCAGATGAAAAGGAAAAACAACACATTTTTAAGAAAGAATGCTTTTGTTTTACTTTTGTCTCCTTAAAACTCTATTAATGTTTATTAAATAGGCATACTAGTACCAATTGATAAAGATGTTTTCAAATTTCTCAGTTTTAAGAATGTCAACATATGCACAACGCTTATTGCAGTGCACAGGTTTTAAGCATGGCAACAAGACAGACAAGCACAATGTATCTTTTATCTCTAGATAAGCTCAATAGAAATGTAGGCAAAAAGTTTTGACATTTCTTGTTTGGTGCTAGACTCTAACTGCTCACTTTTGCCTGGCATCTACTCTTGAGCTGGATTTCCTGCTTGGCCATTACACACACACACACACACACACACACACACACACACACACACACACACACACACACACAAAATAACAAATGCTGGCAAGGATGCAACCAAAATGGAAACCGGATACACTGTTTGTAGGAATGTAAACTTACTTAATCACTCTGGAGAGCACTGTGACAGTTCCTCAAAAAATTAAATATAGAGCTATCCTATGTTCAGTAATTCTACTCCTGGACATTTACCCAAAAAGATTATAAACCAGAGAACAAAAAGCGACCAGCACAACCATTTTCATTGTGGTACTATTCACCACAGCCAAGGTATGGAATCAGCCCAGATGCCACTCAATGGACAAATGGATCAAGAAAATGTGGTTATATAGATGCAAGGGAATTTTATTCATCCATTAGAAAGAATGATATTGTATCATTTATAAAAGAAACAAAGACACAGAAAATAATTTTTAAGTAAGGTCAGGCCCAGAGAGAAAAAGGATGCATGTTTTTTCTTATAAACTCATATGTAAATATGTTGGGTGGTATGCAAGTGCACACAGATGTATCGACTAAAATACAGTAGATTCAAGGGAGATCTCAAATAGTGTAATTCCTAAGAAAGTCAGAATCAAAGTTCAGTGCTAGCCTTGAGCTGAAACGCTGAGGGACAGTGTCTAGGCCCAGAGTTCAGCCCCCTTGACCACCATTTTCTTAGCAAAGTAACCATATTCAATTTTATTCTTAATGAGAATAATCATTCAATAGCTTTCAAAACAAGTAGATGAAAATCTGGCATTGAACAAAATATATCTCTCTCTCTCTATGTCTCTGTAGCTGTCTCTGTCTCTGTCTCTCTCTCTCTCACCCTCTCTCTCTCCCCTCCCTCCCTTTCTCTGGCAATCCTCCAATCCTGGGGCTTGAACTCTGGCCTGCGTGCTGTCCCTAAGCATTTTTGCTGGAGGCTAGCATTTGGCCACTTGAACCACAGCTCCACTTTCAGACTTTTTTTAAATTGCGAAAATACCGTACAGAGGGGTTACAATTACATGGGCAAGATAATGAGTACATTTCTTATCAAGCATTGTTGCCTCCTCCTTTGATTCCCCTTCCCATCCCTCCTCATACCCCCCCCTCCCTACCCCATCCCACTCTCCTCCCACCAAAGTTGTAAAGTTCATATTTTGACATAATGACTTGTACATCTCATTGTTGCAATGGGTCCACCTGTATCCCTATTTTAAACGATTTGTTTTTTCCCTTCCCCTCCACAAATTATTTTGGTGGTTAAGTGGAGATAAGAATCTCATGGACTTTTCTTCCCCAACAGGCTTCAAAACATGATACTCAGACAGGCTTCAGACCATTATACTCAGACTCAGCCTCTGGAGTAGCTAGGATTACAGATGTGAGCTCTATTTTTTCTTGTAAAGGAACATAAAAAGGATGTAACTTATCTATAGAGCTTTTTTTGGTCTGGCAAGCATAAAAGTCTAGATTTGATCACTAGTACTAAAAAAAAGTAATTCAATCAATAATTAAAATTGTCAATCATTCTTCCATATTCAGTCAATGTCTTATGGCTAGTGTATGTTGGTTCTATTATAACTAACAGCTTTATCTTTTGGAATAACTGTAGTTGACTTTTTCTTTCTCTAGCCTACTGTGGTGTGGACAAACCATTAAAAGTTGCTCAAAGACCCTAGCCTTGAGCTGAAGAGCTGAGGGAGAGCATACAGGCCCAGAGTTCAGCCCAACTCTGACCGACAAAAAAAAAAAAAGTTGCCCAAAGGTAAACTCAAGTTTTTATTTTAGTCTTTGTTAGATGGCTGATAATTATTTACGTATTAGGTAATTCTCATTAGTATAGGAATGCAAATTTCATTCTTTGCTCTCTATATCCAAAATATTTCCAACATAAATTTTGTTCCATTTTATATATATGTATAGAAAATTTATAGAATGTAAATCACAATAACATTTATTGAAATACCATAAAAGTACAATGCTAATAGGAAACTCTAAGAGCAAAGATTATGAGAATCTTTTCATAGAGACTTTTACTAGTCGACACAAGGGTTTTTGGAAGTGTAATTATGGTTAGGATCTAAAGATAAAAGCTTCCTGGATAACAGTGGGTCCTAAATCCAAAGACATGTATCTTTTCAGCAGAAAATGACAGACATACCAAGACACAGGAGGAGAGGCTATGTGAATGTGAAGGCAGAGATTTAACTCTGTAGCTAGAGTCAAAGAACACCAGATACCTCTAGAATTTGGAAGGGACAAAGATGAGCCAATCCCTAGAACCTTCAAAGGGAGTGTGGCCCTGATGACACCTGGACCTCAGACCTCAGGCTTCATTAAAGTGTCTGAAAAATTACCCTTGTTTTAAGACACCAGTTGGTGGTAACTCTGAGCCAAGGGAAGTAATACACTTATTAAGGAAATCAAACACATTTCATTTTGGAAAATCATTGAAAAGAGTTTTTATCCAAGTTTTTATCCAAAACGTTTATCCAATTCTCTATGAAAAGATTCTTATAATCTTTGCTTTTAGTGTTTCCTATTAACAATGTACTTTTTATGGTATTTCAATAAATACTGTTATTTATATTCTACAAATTTTACACATACATACATATATTTATGCAATGGAGCAAAATTTATGTTGGAAATATAGAGAAAGCAAAAAATAGAGAAAGCAAAGAATGAACATCAACCATTACTTATACCAGTGAGAATTACATAATTTGTAAGTAAATTAATTCATTTAAAACCAAAAACATAATTGAACAGATAGACAAATGTATACTATCAAACCACAAACACTACTTCATATTTCTAGATTTCATGAGTCTAAGTTAAATGATACACAATACAAATGTGTTCTTTTTTTACACAATTTCAATTATGTGTATCCATGTTTCAATAAATGCATCATTAAATCACTTATATGATATCTTAGATAGTAATCACATTTGTTCATAAGCTAACAAATTTCAAATTCCTTTTCTTTGATCTTTTACATCTATGCTTCCCTTTAACAATAAGAGCAAATTCTCATAATGTTCTGGGAAATACAAGTCAGAGAAAAGATACTATTTTTGATGTTTTACTTAAGATCTTATATTTTCTGAGTCATACATCTCTTTGAGAACTTGATGAAAGGATGAAGTATGAAAGGTCTTTATACAATTTTTTTCTCTAGAAAAATTGTATTCTATACCTGAGAGATCACAAATGTCTTAAAATAAATGTCTTAAAATTCATCAATAGCTCCACTAATACTCCAAAGACTTCCTGATTCACCAGTCAACTAACTGTAGAAAGTTCACAGAAGTTGCGCAGCTTCTGGTACCATTTACCCTATTCATATGAACCACTTATTTTACACTTTAAAATTATTTCCCTATTCCCACTCCTGGGTATTTACCATAAAACAAGGCCACACTAAAACTACCAGCATAACCATGTTCATTTCAACATTATTTACCATAAATAAGATATGGAACCAACACAGATGCCCCTGGGTAGATGAATGGATCAAGAAAATGTGGTATATATATAAACAATAGTATTCTATGCTTCCATCAAAAAGAATGGCATCACTCCATTCATAAGGAACTGTAAAGACTTGGAAAAAATATGCTAACTGAAGCAAGTCAGACCCAAAGAAACATAGGCTGCATGGTTTCCCTCATTTGTAATAAGAGGTTCATAATAGCTCAATAACTATGTACATATGACATAGAAAATAATGCTATTGAAATGAACTCCCAGAAATAAAAACAAGAGGGTTTTTTTTTTGTTGTTTTGTTTTTTAGGGCACTGTTTGCGATTCATTTTTTTTCTCTTTTCCCCCTTTGGTTTATTCCCTGTTGTCATTGTTGTTTTTTTTTTTTTTAATTTTTGTATCCTTTGTCTTCTATATAAGTTTATCTGATTTGGGGAAGGGTAGAAGAATCATAGAAATGTTGGGACAAAGGATGAATCAACACAACAGTAATGCTCTCTAGACACTAGTTTGGATATGAACTTTACAATTTGGGGAGGAGAGGAGTTGGGCTGGGGAAAAGTGGGAGAAAATGAGGGAGGAGTAACATTGTTCAAAAAGAAATGTACTCAGTATCTTACTTATGTAACTGTAACCCCTCTATACATCACCTTTACAATAAATTTTTGAAAATAAAATACCGCCCCAAAATTTATTGCAAACAAAATTTGCAATATACCATAGTGCTTGTACTGGCAGTACACATACTATAAACAATGTCTGTTGATATATTTTGAAACATACTTAAATGCTTAAGAAACATGTGTTGTTTCGAATGCATGGTTACAAAATACACTCTTAGTTGCTAATTTATTATTTTCAAATAATTTTTTCCCAAGGAAAGTTGGGAGAATAGATTCAAAAAATCTGATTAATGAAAAATATGTCACAAAAACAATGATTCCAAAAGTTAAGCATACCAGTGGGGATAATATTCCAATGAGTTTGAATAAATACCTCATCTGTCATTAGGGTTGCAATTGATCTGCCAATTTCATGGTACTGTTGACCCTTTCCCATGGGTCCCAGAAGAATGAACAAAAATCTGTAATTAAGAAGGAAAAAAAGTAATGTTTCAAGGTAGAAAGACAAAAATAATTTCAGTAAAACAGAATTATTCATCTCAAAGGAATTAGTGAAAATTAAGATTTTTATATGAAATATTTCCATAGTTTTTCATTTCATCATTATTTTGAAATATTTACAGTGATTGAATCTCTTCTGAAAGATTCTCAAACAAGGGAGTACAGGGTTATTTCTATCTTATTGTTTTCCCCATTTAATTATCTGTACAGCCAATGTATCTGCTAGAATTTTAAGAACTATAAATCCTTAAGGAAAAGATAATGGAAATATACAGTCTGAATTCAAAAGAAGGAAACTCATAGACAAAATGGTGAATGGTTTGAAGGAGAAAAATACAAAGCTTAGTGAAAGCACATGATCAAAATTCAGTAGGTATTTGCAAAAAGAAAAAGAAAACAAGGTTTTAGGAACCAAATATCTGCAAGGAAGAAGGAAACAGTTGATAATCTATTAATTCCAATGCTAGAAGAAAAAACAACAGCTGCACTATTACACTTCATCTAAATTAAGCCGAAGGTAGGGCAAATTAGTCATAACCAGTGCTTTTTAAAGAAACCAAAGAATGCCTTAAAGTTTGCAGTATAATTCTATGGTGTTAATATGAATAACTTGTAGGCTGTGGTTAATAGATAATGTAATTCCATCCTTCATTGAGCCATAAACTTTAGAGATTGCTCCTGCTTATACAGGAAATACCCATCATTTCATCTTGGAGAATCTAATTTTTGCATTTGTTGTAATTGAATCAATGAATTTCTACTACAGAGAAATGTCCAATAGTTGGATATGGTGCCAATTATTAGCAATTTTTATGAAACTTCCTTATTTGTGTTCACTTTGATATCTTAGAGTTGTATTGCATGGGTTATTTATAAAGAGTTAAGAGAATATTTCTTGATATTTTTATTATATGTGACCAATATATTCATGGTGTGCTCTTTATCTCTCTCAGAAAGCGTAATTAGGATTCCTATGCTTTATTCTATTTGTCAAACGAATCTATTTTTTTTTTTTTGTCAGTCGTGGAAATCTAGGCCTGGGCACTGTCCTTTGCTCTTCAGCTCAAGGCTAGCCCTCTACTACTTACATACATATATTTTTGCAGTGTGAGTCTGAAATGAGGTCACATATACCTGCAGTGAGGGTTTATAACCCTATTATAGCAGTTTTGTCTCCTGGGATATTTTTTTCTATTATTTCCTTTGAAATACAGGGGCTATCATTGCCGTTAGTAGCCTTCATTACTGTTCAAAAGACACCCTCTAATAGTGGAGTAATAGTAACTGCTGGGATAACTCAGAGGAAATCTTAAACTGCTGAAATAGTTTCTTTACAATTAGTAAATATGACATCATCTTAAATATGAATCCTAGATTCCAGGTTAAAGTTTTTACCTAAAAAAGTAGTGCCTTAATCATAGTTAGAGGCAACACTCGGACACTCAATAAATCCATTCTTATTTTTACCTAAAACTTGGTATTTATCAGAAAATTTACTAGTCATCAAATAGGCTAAACAGATAACCTGAAGGTAAATTAGCTGTCTCCTTCAAGCCAAAGTCAGAAAGAGGTGGCCCAACCCTGAATCCATTTGAGTCAGCTATAACCCTTATAAAATGAAAACTCCACTGGCTGGAATGTTCCTATTTCTGGAATATCTTATCTATAATAAAAGCATGAAGTGATAGTATTTGCTGTTTGAGTTAGCACCATAGTTTTTAAGAAGAAACATTTTAGACACCCAGTTGCTAAAACCTCTGCAGTTTTAATCCCCTTTAATTTGGATAAGGCATTCAATGTTTGGAAGAAGAGTTAAATGAACATCTTCTTAGCCAGCCACAGCATCAGAGGGTGTGATCATGTGGAAAATGGGGTCCTAGGTAGATATATCATGATTGTGGGGATAAAACGAGGGCACGTTTATCATATTTGATGATGTCAGTAATGAAGGAAGCAAGTCCAAAGTAAATTGGTTAAAACTTAACATGCCAAACTCAATATTCCGGATTTTTTTTCTTTTCTATATTACCACAATTTTATTGATTGGCAGACTATTTATAAAATAGGGATAAACAAAAATATGAATCATGTGTATTCATGTATAGTTAAATGAATAAGTTCAAGTATATCAAGTTAATCAAATTAAATCAGATTCAACCATCATGCAATTACTAGTAGTGATTCTCCAGACCCCATCTGTGTGAGAGAGGTGACAATCCCTAACGACTGACGAACACGGGTCTCTACCACAAAACGCCCATGCATTTTCAAGGCCTATCCACTCATTCAAACGTAAGCCAAACCTGGATCATCGTGATTTGACTTTGCTTATCTACAACTCTTTTCTTTCTTAAGCACATAATGCCATCATTTGAGAAAAGCCAAACAATCACTAATATTTCACAAAATGTAAAATAGGATTCTTTGTTTATGTAGACCAAGGACCTGGAGATATTTAAATAGTTAAACATACCTAAAATAAAACATAGACATTTGAAAAGAAGTCAATAAAAGAACACTTTATTTTTCATTTTTGGAGCTTTCCCCTGACCCTCTTCTATAAACAATACACAGACATATATGACACATTCATTTCTAGACAAATCTGTCACAGGAAATCATATTTAATGCTCGCCATTTTCCATAAGAAGATATAAAAAGGTGTTCTGATACATTTTACCTGGTTGGGATTGGCACTTCAGCTAGTCCTTGAATCAAGACAGCTGGAGACAACCTGACAAATGAAACTACAGTTCGGTCTAAAAACTCCAGTTCTCCAACTAAGATGTTTGAAGCTTCAGCACCTGGTGGAATCTTTTTCATAAAATGCAGATCAACCTATGAGTATCAGAAGTAAATAAAGTAAGCCAGAATTGGGTTTTTTTGGTAAGTCAAAGTCTCACATAACATTTGTATGGTTTCAACAATACACATAATTAAGCATGTCATTTGCTCCTATTTCTGTAACTTTATTTTTTCTTCTTTTTGTCAGTCATGGGGCTTGAACTCTAGGCCTGAGTGCTCTCCCTAAACTCTTCAGTTCAAGACTAGCACTCTACCCCTTGAGCCACAGCACCACTTCTGGTTTTCTAATGGTTTTTATTGGAGATAAGAGTCTCACGGACTTTCCTGCCCAGGCTGGCTTTGAACAGCAGTTCCTCAGATCTCAGCCTCCTGAGTAGATAGGTTTACAGGAGTGAGCCACTGGCACCTGACTATAACTTTATTCTTATAAGTTACTTTACAATCAATAAGCTGAAAGTTCTACTTTTTCTCTTCATTATTTTTTTAGATGCTCCTTCAAAATCAAGGTTGAGATTTGAAGGAGAATAACCCTTTTAGCTTTGTATATTTGCTTAATTAGTAAAAGTAAAAATAACATTTATTTTTACTAACTGAATAATTTTAGCTTCAACAATAATTAGCATTTGTTAAAAATTTAGTGTTTTATTTTGGATTACCATAATCCAAAATTTCCATTATTTAACATTCAAAATATAGGTACAGTCCTTGAAATATAATTGTGTTCCTTCTTATAGCATAAATTATGAATCCTTTAATCATTATTATTCTAATTGTTTTATGTTTTTGTATTTTATACTTTTTTTCAAATTTAGTCATTCATCATAGAATTTAGATATGCCAAAGCAGAGAAAACAAGCATTAAAACATTAGCATTTAGCATTGCTGAAGAACTATATTTAATTTATAATATGAGATGTCTCTGGTTGAGATGAATGAAAATAAAAGTGATCACCAACAAGAAAAAAATAAAGGGTAAAGGGTAACACCTGAAAAATAATTTTTAAAAAATAAATGTCAATTTTATGAATGAGGTTTCAATGAAAACCAAGCTGTAATTTTTAAAGTCAAATTCCCAAGAACTATTCGTTGTTTCTAATTTATTTGAGTTGCTTTCTGTGGAGAATGGCAGTTTATCTGTTCTAATAATTAGTTTTATGCTCTTTTGTTAAGGAAATGGAGACCAAAGATCAAAGTGTGAATAGATTGAAGAGAGAGGAAAAAGCTCTAGCAAATAAGGGTGAGGCTAAAAAGATATTTTTAGGCAACATTAATTTTTTACAAGTTAAAATTTTTGAGATTATTTGTACTAAGAATTTTAAATTAATAGAATTTCAAACTTCTCAGAGTAAGTAACTTAGAAAATCCTTACTAGCAACTATATAAAAAACATTGCTTCTGAAATTTAGACTTCAGTGCATCTATTTGGAACACATACAATAAACTATCTTTATGTGCACTAAAAACATAAAATCCAAGGGTTTTAGCTCAGTTGTAGAGCAACTCCTTAGCGTGTGGCAGAATGTAGATTTGATCATTAGCCCTAAGCACAAAATGACAAAATTAATAATAACAATATACAGTACCTTATAAAAAATCTAGAGATGCTATTTTATTTTTTAAAAGGAAGAATGATTTAGCAAAGTAAAACTATCTATAGTAAGAAATATTTCACAAATATAAATTTCAACATTTTACCCTGCAAATATAAATTTTCAAACTCATAAAGTCTGACTACTGAAAATTATATGATAAATATTTTGCTTTTGTGGACTTTAACTTATTGATTTTTATAGGGTAGGCTAATTTCATAGTATTTATTATGGCATTTTTGTATTTAATTTTAGCTAGACAAAATGTACACACTGAAAATGTATTCTTTATATAATAATACTTTATATTTTTGTCATAATACAAAATTTTCCAGGAAGAGATTTTCCACTCAATATTAATACTGTGAGAAAAAGGTAATAAATTTTCCTAGGTTTTTCAGGACCAAAAGAATTAAATTTCAGTTTTTTCTCCCAATGGAAACAACAATGACACAATAATATTACATTAAGGCAAAATTTCAAATAAGAAAATGTGAAATTAGCAATCAGTATGAGTTATGTTCGTATATATTGTTTAAATTTTACCCAGAAAACTTTCTTTAAACTTATTTATTTCTCAATATAGTTTTACCTACAAAAATTTGTTCCTCAAGGCAGTCACAAATTTAAAATTAACTTTTTAAAGATGAAATTCTATTAATTTAAGGTATACATGATATATTAAGATAGTTTGTATAAAAATTATACCCTTAGGGCTGGGAAGGTGTCTCAGTGGTAGAGTGCTTTCCTCACATGCATGAGGCCCTGGGTTTGATTCCTCAGCACCACATAAGCAGAAAAAAGCCATTAGTGGGGTTGTGGCTCAAGTGGTAGGGCACTAGCTTTGAGCTAAAGAGCTAAGGGACAGTGCCCAGGCCAAAAGTTCAGCTCTCACAACCACCACCACCACCAACAACAACAAAAATTATACCCTTAAACATTATTTTTAATTAGATGAAATCTAATATATAATTGATACCTGTTACTTAGAAAAGGGATTAAAGTGTATAGATTTGACTTCAGGATCACCAAATTAAATTTTGATTTAAAGTATTCACATACAATGTACATCTGGTGATAGTAACTATATTAAACTTGTTACATTATATTATTCTTAGAGTAGCCATATTTTTAGTGGGTGAAAGATTATATAGCTCATTGTTTAATTATATTATCATTTCTCATGTATTTTCCCATGTATTTTATATTGCGTTGTAGCCTTGTATTTTTATATTATTAGTACATAATTTGCAAAAATAACAAAAGATCCTGTTTAAGAACCACAATTTAGTATTTTATGAAATTATGGCTACCTAAGAAGAGTTCTTAGGATCTAGGTTGAAATATATTTCTAAGACCATCCTCAATTTATCGCAAACCCTTGAAATGGTCAGAAAGAAACCTTGGGATTCTGAGCAGGACCTGAAAGGAATCAAACTCCATCCTTTATATATGGATTTACACTCAGGAGGAAGACACATTATTCTGGGCATATGGGTCTTAAGCTGTATTAAAATGGGCCATTGCCATTCAAGACCACCGAAGAACTGGAAGTAACTGTAGAAACCGCGCACTGAACATCTAAGGAAAAATAAGTGGAGATGTAGGGGAAATGCTTAAGGTCTTACACCCATTATAGAAAGCACATAAAACTTCATTGTAACCTCTTTGTACAGCTACTTAATAATGCTTTATTTTAGAAAGACCACATAAAATGAAGAGATTCTCTTGGAACAAATGGTGTTTTGACACTAACCAGTGACCTTGAGCCTGGATTCAGCTTTTTCACTGAGGAAATAAGGAAATGTCTAATATTTTCTACAGTTCTAGAATTTAATAATCCAGCTCTTTATATATGCTTCACACACTACAGATACATACAGAGGAAAATTATTTCTATGCAGAAAATTCTGTGATGGTCTGGGAAGGTGGCTCAGTGGTAGAGCGCTTGCCTTGCATGCCTGAGGCCCTGGGTTCGATTCCTCAGCACCACATAAGCAAAAAGAAAAAATCCGGAAGTGGAGCTGTGGCTCAAGTGGTAGAGCACTAGCCTTGAGCTGAAGAGCTGAGGGACAGCTCCTAGGCCCAGAGTTCAGGCCCCACGACCAGACCACCCCCCCCCCCCAAAAAAAAAGAAAAAGAAAATTCTGTGATGCCTTCTTTGGGTCATTTGAAATATAAGAAACATGAGTGAGATAATACAGCCAATTTCCACTGCCAGTTTAAAAAACAAGAGAAATATATTATTTTGATACTTCTCCTTTTTGAAGCCTGAAAAGAAGAGCTAATACTTGAAAACTAATATTATATTCTAAATCATTCTTTAAAGAGCGAAGTCTGATTGGTCTAACCATTGTAAGTGTTAAAAATATGTATATTTAAGGTAGAAAGAATATAAAATCAAGTCACATGGTGAAAAAGACTCACTCAACAAGTATATGTGAAGTACTATATAAAACACTAATGATTCAGTAGAGATCAAAGCATTATGTTCTGGTTTAGTATATATGAGTTTTTTAGGTTTTTTGGTGGCATGAGGGTTTGAAACCAAAGCCTCACACATGCTAGATACGTATTGCTGAGCTTCACTTTCAGTCCCTAGTTTGGTATTTATTTTGATAATAATAATAATAGCAACAACATTAATCTCCACCTTTTATTAAATAGTTATAATATGCTCTGCACTCTGTCAGGATCTCTCTATATTACTTTATTGAATCCTTACAACAAAACTATAAACATACATTGGTATTTTTATTTTGTTCATAAGAGGACAGAGATTTAGAGAACTTGTCCAAGATGGGATAATTCACAAGCTTCACTTTCTTTCCTTTGTGAGTAAGTGTTTTGAAGTCTACAAAGATAAGTTCCACGCAAAAAATAATGATGTGGAAATACAAGATTCATCATGTAAGGGTTATATTAATTTAAACAAAAATAAAAGAAAGTTTATTTGAAAAGATGAGCCATGTAGTTTATAATCACTGCTTTTTGGGAATGTTAAATATGCCCTTGTTATACTGTTAATGTACTCATAAATAGCCAACTTTTTAATGTCATTACTTTCAAGAAATGGTTTCAAATTAAGGAAAACAGAAATTAAATGCATGACAGTTTGTGACAATTTTATTCCAACTGCAGATGAATGAAGATGTGATGCTTTGAAAAGATAGTGTGTAGAGTGGCAGATGGAATTGAGCTGGTTTAATATTTGAGTCACATGCTTCCTGCAGTGAAATGAGCTTGGAATCACTGTAAAAACAGAGCCCAAGGATGCCCTCACCTCTCTCTCTTGCTGGTGTTGAGGTCCTTTTTCATGCCTTTGTTTCATCCCACATGGACTAGTATGCCCCTTTTGCTGGCCTCCCAGTCCCTGCACGCATAATTAACAGACTTAAGCTGGTACACCATGCTCCCAGGAGACTCCATTAAGCACCAGAGGGAGAGCATGCACAGAACTACACCTACATCATTTAGGCATTCACAGGGATGCTGAAACAAACCCAAGGAGCTGATCACTATTAGTCTTTTCAGAAACTTAAATAAGACTATTTCCTCAGGCTGCCTCCCATTCCCACCTCCCCACCCCCACCTCCGCCAATTCATTGCCAGTGCTATGAGCTTTACCAGCTTTATCTGAGTTACTACTGCTGTTTCAGCCACTCAGATAAGCTTGTTCCTTCTCCTCATTTTTAGTACATACGGAAATTTCATTGCTAGTTTGCCACAGCTAACATTCAATGACAGGAATTTGCTAACCAAAATTACATTATTTTCACTAACTCATTATTTTCTTAGGATTCATCAAATAACGTATTTCATTTAGATTGTCTCCAACCAGAAGTATCCCTTAACTTAGTGCATAGCATGTTGTCATTCAAAATTCCACTCAGTTTTATTATGTACCTGTAAGATTTCCTTACACTAAATTATGATGAATACAAAGTTTTCTATTGTACGATTCGGTTTTCAACAAACAACAGGAAAGTGATTCTGAGGGAAAAAAAATCAGTATTTTTCTAACAAGAGGTTAAGCTCCTTGTGAAGCCCAGTTGATTCTGTTGGAAGAAATACATCATGATCAAGTGGCTGAATCCTGAAGATTATGCATATAACATGCATGTTTGGTTTTTTAAGTAAACAAAACATTACATATATACTCAATGCTAAACATTATCTCTAACAATGTTAACCTTCAACTAAGAAATGAAAGGAGTGCCTCCAAAATAATTGTGTCAGCACCTCTTAGAATAGATAGTAATTTCAGGTAGTAATTTAGCAGTTACTTAGGAGAGAGAAAAGCTTACCTTGCTAAAGTCAACTGTGCTGTTTTCTCTGCTAACATCATTTTTATTTTCAACACAGGCTGGAGCCGACTGAGGAGAAACAACCTGACCTGCTGAAAGAGATTGTTATTACAGAATACAAACAATTATTTATATAGTTCTAGACACAGTGAGTGAAATATGAAATAGGCTAGACTAACATAATTTACATGACTTTATGTTGTAAGCGTGAAAGGTCAATATAAATAGATAGACTAACATAATTTACATGACTTTATGTTGTAAGCGTGAAAGGTCAATATAAATAGATATATATCAATATAAAAATTCTTATTGGTTACAGATAGAAGTGGGAGACATCAGTCAAGCAAATTTAAACTAAATGTTAGCTTATCTAAATCTAACCATCACTTTTATACATCACTGCTTTCTAAATGTCAACCAAAATAAATGCACAAATAAAAGTGCATAGATAGAAAATTTTAGCTTACACTGAAGAATTTAAAACACGAAAAGCATGTTTGTCTGAACATTACTTGGCATATTTTTAGATTCTTTTGTATTTAAAAAATGAAACTACTAAGTATTTTTGGCAATAACTTTGAAAGCTTGATTTATTAAAGTTTCAACTAGAAACATTATTTCACAATGTAAACATTATAAATATGATTTTTATAATGGTGACTATTCATTTACAGAGACATATAGTATTTATCTGGGACATGAGAATAAAATCAATAAAATTGAGTTGTATTTGTTTCCCATTAACACTAACCAAAACTTAATTATTTTGTAGTTTTGTCTTCATTTTAGGTAAGATAATATTAATGAAGAGCTAATATTATTTGGATAAGTAAGTGAATTATAAAGCTAGAGTTTAACAATGGCTACAGAAGGTTAAAGTCCATTGTCACTATGAAATATTCTTTGACATCACAAGTTATTTGAGATTTATCCATAAGTAGTAATCAAGAAACAAATATTTAACCAGAGGTAATTAATTGTAAACATATTCCTCTCCTCTTCATCTTCACATACTACTTTTGCTGTGAAATAATGGCAACTGAACCTTGACGCCTTAACTATATGTTTTTACATTCCTACATGATGTTCATATATATTTACATTCTTGCTCAGTGACTTCAAAATCCTGTTTTATTCCTATTAATCTTGGATATAAGAACTACTCTCTTTGCTCTTTTCTACTAAATTATACTTTTACTAAATGTTCACCTTTATTTTCATCTTCTCCAACTTCCATGGTCTTTGAACTTGTCTAAGGACCTATAGTGATTTTTAATTCCTCAAATTCTCCCCTGAATATTCCCTTATTCTTTGTTACCTAGAAATCACCAGTGACAATCAACACTAATTATTTACTTTCAGATGCTACTACATATATAATTTTGCCTTAAGGATAATTATACCTCTCAGATAAGGATCCTTTACCAATAGATACAATTTTTATGGTTTCGAATTGTTCTAGTGCAAGAAAGATTTAAGATTCTTCTAAGCCTAGTCTTTAAATATTTTTCCTCATTTACTAAAGACAGTAAAAAGAAGGTATTTTTGGTGAAGATGAAAATAAAATTATTTTTAATGCAAATTCTCTTCAAATTCTGATTATCAAAGACTTTGTGGTGATTTTCAGCCTCCAGAGAAAGGTCAGACAATCTGGTTAGGCCTTGACATTCTCCCATTTCTACCTGTAATGTGCAGCTATGACTGTGCACAGATCATTAGCAGCCATTCTCAAAATAATAACCATAATTTTAACAAACCTTTTACAGAATGCATTTGTGCTACTAACAGATGTCTTCAATCACCAGTTTCACATCATTTTCTCATATTTTCATCAGTTATATTTAAACCTAAATTTATTGAATGTTCTGTAAAATTGAGTGGTGAAATTAAAGCCATGGAAAAATTACACAGGCATGTATCTGCTTTCTTACAATATTTTATTTTATGTGGCATAAAACTGTGTAAAAATAATCATTTAATTCTGTAATCAAACATATTAAAAAAAGAGTCAACCCAGTACAAAATTATCAACTTTCATATGATTGAACCAGACAGAGAAAATACTGGTACTTGAAATTAGAAGAAAATGAGTATATATTCCACATTCATTTATGTACTTAAAAGAGAAAATTTCAGAAATTAACTTCAGGTCAGGTCTGTGTTTAAAACATTGGCATTTGTATTTCTCTTGTAAATAACCTTAATATTTAATAGAACAGTTGCATACATGATAATTATATTTAGATAATTTGAGATTTGCTGTCCTATGCTATTCTTGTTTCAAGATAATAAAGATATTATTTTATAAATTTGATATTCAGGAAGTGACATAGGAAATGTTCTTAGTGAATATTTTAAGTCATATTGGTAATGACCTAGTTCAGATTATTTAGGAATTAAATAGAAGATAACTTGAAGGCTAATCTAGATTCTTGACATGTTCTTAGAATACATGCCAATACAGAAAAAAGGAGGATAAAAACTTCTGGCCTCTGACATATAGATACAACCACAAATTATATATTATGACATTTTGGAGTAGCATACATATATATATATATATATATATTAAAAGTCTTGCAAATTTTAAAGATAATTTCAAACTTTAGCACTATTTCTAAAAAATACATGGATTTCTTAAAAATGAAATAATATACATTAGATCAGAATATCTTCAAAATAGTTGCAATAATTTGGCAGGATACTAGAAAATATATAGATATTATTTAAGAATCAAACTTACAAGTTTGGTTTTGATTATATAGGAAAAGAATTGACCAGCAATAGTCTAGGGTGAACTTTACCATTCACATAATGTGGTAGGCTACTTTTCGTGATGATTTTTTATCAGTAAGTTATCATGCTTCCAAAGAGAAAAGCTTTTCCTATTTATTACTTTCACTTTGTCCAGTGGTCACCGCCCATATTAATATTTCTTAAATGTGAATCTTTGTCATGTTTAATTACCTTTGGAATTTTAATATGTAAGTAGTTTTGAAGCCTAAAAATGACTGGAAAAATTTTATTAACTTAGTAACTTTGTCATCTTTAAGGCAAACTATTCAACTGATGAAAAGTGGGTATCATTAATATTAACTGTTGTGTCTGTGTGTGACTATTTAAATGTAAACATTTGAAGAAATCTAATACCATGCTTTTTTTCACTTCTTCTTCTATCCGTTTGGCTTGAAATCTGGTCCTGGGTGCTGTCCCTGAGCTCTTCAACTCAAGGCACATGCTCTACCACTAGAGCCACAGCATCACTTCTGATTTTCTGGTGGTTTACTGGAGATTACAATCTTTCCTGCCTGGGCTGCTTTGAACTGAGATCATTAGATCTCAGCTTCCAGAGTAGCTAGGATTACAGGCCTGAGCCACCAGTGCCCGGCTCATCTCTCTCCTCTCTCTCTCTCTCTCTTTCTCTTGTGCTTAATTGGAGATAAGAGTCTCAAAGTCTTTTCTGCCCAGGTTGGTTTTGAACTGTGACATTTGGCTCTCAGCTTCCTGAGTAGCTATGTGGCATAAGCCACAAGTGCCTAGCTAATCATCGTTTTTATTCATCATATGTGCTTACTTTTGATCTGTTGAACTAAGAAGTCTTCATTTTAATATAAAATTAAAGCAATTACTTGTTTCTTATCACGTAAAGTCCATATCATGCAGTACTTATATTTGTACCTGCTTAATTTTCTTCAAGTCATAGAATTTAATTTTTCCTCTAGTCCTTGATGTAGTAATCATATGAAAAGGTATTATAGGGAAAATTATAGAAGACATGGGAAAAAATTGCCAGTCATTTCAGCAACCACTAACTAGAGAATAGAAACTTATTTTCCACTTGTCATACTCGTGTCATAGTCATTTCCTTCACGACAAGTTATTTTAATGAGGCAGCGGAGTAAGGGGACTGAGATTACTTTGTAATGCTCACTAATGACTTGAAGTCATATCAGTATCATTAAAGTGCCCTATTCTAAAAGACAAGTATAAATATGTTCTCAAAAGTATGTTGAGTACTATATCCATTTGCTTCCATCTTTACCTATAATCTTCTTCAAGTAAATTGTAAGTATTGTAAAATAGCAGGTTTTAAATTTTCCTTTGGCCAATTTCAAGTCAATAGAATAATTTAGTGCACTGTTGAATCCTTTTTGCCACGACTGATCCACTGTAAGGCATGTACAAGAAGGAAACTGGGATAAAGACATGAAGGCACATTACTATTAACCTAGAGACCAAGCTGGTTTACACTACCTCAGAAACCTTCAACGCATTTAGAGTACCCAAAGGGAAGGAGATGAGGGAGGTACAGAGATGAGATGAGCCTGTTAGAGACAGACACAAGACAGAGCAAAATAAAGAGATATAAAGATGAATGACAAAGTTACAAACATGTGTAACAATACATTTATTTATGGAAGTAGAAAACATGAAGAAAGAAGGGTTCAATACTTAGAAAGTGTTAATTAGGTGGTCTACACATCAAAATAATAAAAACGTATGCACGTAATTAAACTTGAAGAAAAATTAGCATGCCTGAAAATAATTATTGTGATATAAAAGAATATCAGTTAAATGCATCTTCTTAGAAACATGTTTGCTATTAAAAGGTAGTCTTGTTTTCCCAAAACTCATACTAGCAGCACAGCTTTTGAACAGACACATCAATTGTCTCAATAATCAATATTACCTGAATTTTCTTATAGCAATACAGTTCTTTTATTTACATGAATCTTTTAATATGCTTTCTCTCATGCAGCTCTAAGAAATAATATCCTAGCTTTCTATTTTTCTTATCAAAAGTAGAACATTTATTAAAGATAAGTATTATACTTTGGGTATCTTACTGATATGACCATAGTATTTATAAACAAGAAAAGATATAAATAGCTAAATATATAGACATCTGGAAATAATGAGTATAGCATTTGTCAAAGAAATGACTGAAAGGCAATAAACCAGATTTCCAAAATCATAGGAAAATATCATTCATGATACATCTATGGAAGTTGTTACAAGGGCTACAATCTACCCAGGTCTAAAGAGTCAATACATATATCATCCTGCCAAATCTAAATGCTCTCCAGTAACTGTGGCTTTGATCAATACATTAGACAATTTCAATTCTGTAACTGCTTTTGAGATTCTAAATAAGGTGAACAACTAGGAAATACTGTTATTGGGCAGGAGAGGAAAGATCATGAAGAAAGAAGCAGAATTAGACATGGTTAGTAAACACAGTGGAATGAAGGTATACTACACCTAAGGAAACTAAGAATCACAAATTATTGTCAAAAACACGTTATCAGAAGAGTAGTAACATTTTATAATACATTTTTGTAGTTCCAGGCACGACAAGCATGAGACACTCCACCACTCACATAATTAGTCCTTTTTTTCTGTAGTTATTTTTCAGAAGATATTTCATTATGCCCAAAGCCAGACATAGACCATGATTTTCCTACCTATGACTCCTGCTAAACTGAGATTAAAAGCAGGTAGCACCATTCTCAGCTTGTCCAGATGAGGTCTTGCTAACTTTTCCCCAGGATGGCCTGGAACTGAAATTCACCCAATTGACACCTCCTGCAAAGCTGAGATATGGTCATGCCAGCCCGTTATAGCATTTTTACAATCTAGATGTCTCAGTATGTAAGAAAAGGCATGACCTAAGTGATGAATGCTAATTTACTTTGCTCTCAAGATCACCTAATAGGATCCTTACTTTTCATTGTCAGACGGATCTTTCTAATTCATGAAATAGCATTAATACTCTTAATATATTGATATTAAGCATTTCTACCCATACCCAATTTAGAGTTGTAATGTCAATGTAGATATTATTTTTTTCTGTTATTTTTCCATTGTTTTGCCAAATGTAACTGTCACTTTCTATTGAAACATCAGAACTAGGCATTCATTTAATTCTCACAGTTTTGATGCTTAATGAAAAGTGAAAGTTAAACACAGCATGTGGTATTAAAAATGCATGGTGAACCCATAGCATCCTGCATTTCAGTCTTGAAGAAATGCACAGAATACCAAGAAAAAAGAAAAGCTCACAGAAAAGGGAAACAAGTATATTTAGAGGTGAGATTGGCAAATTATCACAAATTGCTTTTTAAAAAGGTATGAATAAAAAGTGTGGAGAGGGGAGAGAGAGAGAGAAAGGAAGTACACTATCGTTTTAGTCTAATCTTCAAATGTGGAAGATCCACATTTGACATGCAGTGTGGGGATGTGTGATCCTTGGGTGTATTACCAGGGTAGCACACTGGAGGATCAAGTCAATTAAGGGAGGAGGTGCCTCTCTCTAAGGCTGAACTGCTTTCCATCAGTTTCAATTGCTTTGCCCCTAAAGCAAAAGCACATTAAACAAGAGGAGAGAACTTGTTTCTACCTTTAAGCTTTGAAAGGAAAATATTTTCTCTTGTGAAATATCTAAAAAATCCTCATTCTGTTTAACTCTTATTCTGTGATCATAAAAAAATAATCTTTCGAGTGGGGTATTTACTGAGAAGCTTGTTTTCAAATAAGAAGAATCATATTTTTACTCTTTTGGACGTTTCAAACCCGTCTTGCAGCGCTCTGTTCTGCTATATCAATGACTTAAATCACTGGTGTATGTTTTCAAACAATGTCACATCGATATTTATGGCTAGGAATTTCAATTTGTTTGTTGATCTGGAGTTTGTCAGTTTTTAGAGTTCCTAACTAGATTGAGAACCTTACTAGTAATGGTCCTTCGCATTTTTCTTCACTTCTGGGTAGAAGATCTATTTCTAAATTGGTGAAGTCTATACATATTTTCAGAATTCTCGGCACACATAATTATGTAGAGCGTGTGAGGAAGCAAAACAGAGTCGTAAGGAGGTGTTATAAGCCGAGGCTTAGAAAACCACTTCTGACAGCATACTCCACAACACTACTTAATTGGATATATGAATCTTATTATAAGTGTTTCCAAGTTTTTATTACCCTAACGTATGCCCTGCAAAGATTTGTATGTGTTCAGATAAAGGCTGATTGTACAGATGGTAACAGAATCACTCCGCTCCTAGTTTTTTGGAAAAACTAAGCCATTTCCTGAATAAGACAAAAAGTAAGCGCTAAGAAAACCTTAATATGCACAGCTTTGTGATTCACGGCTACAATTCTATGGCTAGAATTCAATTGTCTCTCCTTACATATTTAACCGAAGTTAAAATCAGTAACAGTGAGTCTAGGTCTACATAATCCTGAAACAAATGGTCCATCTAGTAAATTCCAAGCCATCTTCTTCCTCAAAAATGCAATGAAAATTCAAATAGGAAACATATCCGTAATTTGAACTAACAATTTTAGCTTGTTCATAATCCAAGATCATTGTCTCTTTGAAGAATATATATCATTCTTATAGGAATATTTTTTTGGTCTGATTTCCAGTGAGACTCAAGAAGTTCAGACAAAAGTACATGTCTCTAAAATGTGCTCTAATTCTTGAGAAATTAGTCGATGGATACATTTTAATAAGATTTTTAGAATCATGAAGAAATATATCCAGTCAAAATTAACAATTGTCTAAGGTGATGTTCTTAACATTATGAAGCCAAATACCAGCATCTTAATAATAATAAAATCACTACTTTTATATCTCTTGGATTATAAAAGCTTCATTTTGTCAGAGTATGCATCACATACTTTTAATCAAATTGTGATTTAGAAAATGAATGTATTCATTACAAATTAACCCTCAGACTATTCAATGGAATCAATAAATATACTAATGGACTCTTTTGGTAACACTTACATTGAGTTTTATATATGTACAACTATAAATTCTTCCATACAACAAAAATTACATTTAGTTATTGAAAATTCTTAAAAAATAAGTTTTTCAAGAATGATTTTGTCATTAGAAAAATATTGTTGATTATTATTCAGCAGTATTCCTATATTCTGAAAAAAACTACACTAATACTTAAACCATTTCTTTGGTATTTGTTTTTGTATATATAATAGTGTGAAGAATGGTATAATTTCCATACAAAGTAAAGTTCAGAAATGATTCATTTTCATGCATTTGAATTTAAGGCATCTCTAAATCTTTTGGAAAAGGACATGTGCACAGTCTATTTGTAGAAATCAATCTTTCTAGTAAGGCATTCGAAAATAATTTTAATTAACCTTGAACTTTTAGAAGTAGAAAAGTTTTTATAACTGGTAGGACAAATTCCTATCCTCTTCATGGTAATTTCATTTTCTTTCATGAGACCCATGGCAAAGATGGATAACAACAGGAGCAACTTCTTTAGGGTAAATGATAAAAGGTTAAAGGAATGCATAGAAAAAAAAACACCAGAGGATTAATAGTCTAAAGGACAAGTCAAAGAAAGTCATGATTGCTAGAAAATCATACTGATCACCTGTGTGAGCCTGTGAAGATATGAAGATAGGAGACAAGGTAAGCGATAATGAATGTAGACATTAAAGACATTGTTTTGCAAACAGTCATGAAGAACAAGGAACAGGAATCAGGCTCAACCTATGTAGAGCCACAGGTACATACTGAGGGGTCTTTTCAGCAGTTATCACTAATAAAATCTGTTGACAATGGGCAATGTTGGAACCATTATCTTTTTGTTCGTTTATTTGTTTCTGTAGTAGGGCCCACCCTCTTGCTTAATTTTTTACCAGTCAAGGCAGACACTAGACCTTAGTCATAGCTCAATTTCTAGCTTTTTTGGTAGTTTGTTGTAGATAAAATTGTCACAGACTTTCCTGCCCAGGCAGGCTTCAAACAGGTATCCTCAGATCTCAGGCTCCTGAGTAGCTAGGATTTCAGGCACAAGCCACCATAGCCTGGCTTTAAATCATTATCTTTATCACACTTTAATAGTCATAATTATCCATTTAAATAAAAAAGATTAGCTGAGACATAAATAGAACCATTGCATTACTTTCCCCAAGCTATAGAACAGACATTGTTTGGGATGTAACAGAAACTGCATTTATATTTTCAGCATTCTAATCTATAAATGCTATAAAGTTTCTTTGTATTCCAATATGAACCTTTCAATAAATTTAAATTATTAAAATTTCTACCATTGATGTTTGATATCTATACAGCACATATATATGAACAGAAACAATTCTAACAGTATGACTGTCCGTAAGACAATTTTAAATTAAACATTTTAAAGATGGAGAGGCACTTTGACTTTTCAGAGACATATAGAAGATATAAAGAACAGAATAAAGAAACATTTACCATTTTTGTCCATGGAATTTGGTTCTGATTGCTTCTTGCCAATATCAGCAAAGGAGCGAACAATGGGGATCCTATTGGTGAGTTTTTTCTGATTCTGGTGGTGATGCTGCTTCATCAGTGCCTCATGGACCCTGTGGCGTACATCTTCATTCAGCTGGCCTGAGCTCACTTGTTGGTCAAGGACCATATCTGCAGAGGAAGGCAGAAAGATGTGATCACAGCTTTGGAGTCATACATAAGTCAGCAATGATGATACAAAGTCCTAAAATGAAGTCTTTGAATAATATGATTCATCTTCAAGTAGGAATGATATTAGCAAACAGAAGTTGAATTTCCTTGATGAAATGTTACATGACAAACAGGCACATTTTCTTTATAACCCATTCAATTAAGTACATAAGTATAAATTTTTTTCAAATGTACAGTTGACAAATAATGCTATATTTATTATTCATTCCAATTGGAGGGAAGCTTTACTGGGGTAGTATCAAAATAGGATTTTTGCAATGGGAAAGAGGTTTTATACATAAATTTGTATACATATCTATATATCTATATTTTTTCCTAGAACAAGTTCTTTCTATGCATCCCAAGTTGGTCTCAAACTCATAATCCTCTTTCCTTGGCCTCCCAAGAACTGGGATTGAATGACTGCACCATCATACCCAACTTTACTTGAAACTTTTTTTTAAGGTTTCATTTGAATTTTAATTGACATTTTGCTCAAAAGCACCCAATGCTGAACGTAACTACATGTTACAGGGTTCTGACCAAAATCCTGACCTCAGGCAGTTACAACATCTATCATGGGTTATTTCACATCAGTGCTGTGTTTGACTGGGGCACAAGGTAAGCATTTCAGATTTATAACAACATTAAATCTAGCACCTTTTAATAAATACTAATAACCACCTTCAGAAGGTGTCATTTCAACAGGGGGAAAATGATCCAGTTTACCAGCAGTGCAAACAGCAGCAACATTTTCAAGGTTGCCATTAAATTTGTAACCATCTTCCGGCACAGCACACGTGCCCTTCTCAGCCAAGCCCTCCACTGAGGCTGAGTGTCAGCTCCTACACAGTTTTAGGCGGTGGGCTACAGAGACAGCATATAGTACAGGGAGATGAAGGTAATCTGAGTAGGATGACTTTTTCTAATGAGTCAACTGTAGCATTTCTAGTCCAACTCGGCCTTCAAGGCCAAGACAGCACTCCATAACACCAGCTGATAAGATCCTGTCTTCAGTGGGGGCATCTGAGTACAGAGCAGATGGGGTGAGGGAATACTGGTGGAGGAGGGAGGGGAATAAAGGAGAGGGGATGATTTTATTCAAATTGCACTGTGCACATACATAGAATGCACAATGAAACCTCCTCCTGTTACAAATGTGTGTTAATTCACAAAGAAAGCAAAAGCAGAGGATGCCTTGCTTCCTCTTGCTAATTCAAGATTAATGGTTAGTCCTTTAGTGTGGGTCTCACAGACCTTCGTGGGTCACACGCTTTCCCATGAATGTTCAACTTGACCCAAAGCTTGTGACTTTGGGTCTTACTCTTAAGGACATCTGGGCATAAAAACAAACACTGAGTAGACTCAGCAGCCAATAATTAATATAGAGGGGAAAAAAATCATTGCTAGTAAATGTTTAGGGTTTTTCTACATTGCTTAGCTTAGCATTTACCAAATGTCCAGGCCAAAGGAGTTTTCTCAGTAGAAAAGGTCTGATTCCAAATCTCCACTGGCCCATGCGCAACACAACTTCTTATCCTGTTCCCCAAAATTTGCAGCGGAAGTTGCTCTGCTGTCACCAACCATGAATGGGCTTGTAGACACAAAATACCATAAGGATGATGGTCGCCAGCAGGATGCTGAAAACGGTTCCCATCAACACCAGGTTTTGCGCGCTGGGGAGGGGGTGGGGAGGGGTGGGGGGCGTTTCTCTGGGCTCGGGGCCTCAGCCTGCATTACCAGGACGCAGCACGCGACAGTACCACTACCACACAAGATGCCGCATCTTCACCCTTTCGTGGAAGCCCTTTACTAGAAAACCTTAATATGGTTATGTACTATTGCTGAGTAGGGAGTAATTTCCCTCTATCTGTCTTCTTTAAGAAATGGAAAGTCCAACAGTATATATCTGATCTGAAGAGGACTGAGCAACCACTAATTACTTGCATTGGGAAATGAAGCATTATCTTTCATACGGATGTCAATTTATCCCTTTTTCAAACTTTTCCTTGAAAATGTGTTTAAATTAGAATAACAACAGCCGAAAAACATAGAAGACAAGATTTCAGAAGGCTTTCACTAAGTAGAGTAATGTTACCACACAAAACCCAAGAAACACCAATAAAAGCCAAGTGTGGTGGTTCATACCTAGCTATTTGGAGACATTGATAAGAGTATCCTAGTTTGAGGCCAGCCAAGACAAAAAATAAAATATTATTAAAATCTTAACTTTAAAAAAAAATCAAGTTTGAGCCAGGCGCCGGTGGCTCTGGTTCAAAGCCAGCCTGGGCAGGAAAGTCCATGAGACTCTTATCTCCAATTAACCACAAGATGCAGGAAGTGGCTCTGTGACTCAAGTGTTAGAGCGCTAGCCTTGAGCTAGAGATTACAGCACCCAAGCCCAGACTTCAAGCCCCACGACCAAAAATAAAAAAAAATAAACTTGTCATGGGGGAGGGGTACACATATCATAGTCTGAGGCCAGCCTGGAAGAAATGTATAAAATAAATAAGCAAGATGTGAATGTTTCATGCTTATAATTCTAGCTACTAAGGAGGCTTAGATCTGATTATCATGATTCAAAGCCTGACCAGGCAGGAAAGTCCGTGAGATTCTTATCTCCAGCCAACCAAAAAACTGAAAGTGGAGTTGTGGTTCAAATGGTAGAGTATGAGCTTTGAGCAAAAAACTCAGGGACAGTGCTCAGGCCCTCAGCCTCCTTTGACTCATGGACCAGTGTGCTCGCGCAGGTGCACGCATGCACACACACACACACACACACACACACACACACACACACACACACACAGGAAAAGAACTAAACCAAGAAAAGAGGTAGGTTTGTGAATCAAGTGAGAGTTCTTCCTAACAAATGCAAGATCCTGAGTTTAAATCACAGCATCAAGAAAATAAAAACAGGACAAAAATGTTCAATAAAGTAGGTGGGTAGATGAAAGCTTTCAAAGTTTCATAGAAATATGACCTCAATAAGCTTCAGAGTCGTTGGCTTTCAGTTAAATATTAACTCTGGTTTTTTGTGGAGGCACTATTTATGTCATAATGAATATTTCTGGTGAATTGCCTTCCACTACCCTCATGGGTACACTGAAGGTCTCCAGATTAGCAGAATGCCTCCTTCAAAGTGTGAAAAAGAAAATGGAGTAAGGAGACAAACTTGGTTCATTAACCCAAGTGCTAAATGTTCTTGTGATTTTGCAAAATTGAAACATCCTAGTATTCTTATTTGGAAGATGGAAATACTATCTATATCATATGTTGTCTTCATGACAAATGGCATAAGAACCCTGATAAGTTGTGATATTAAGTTCATCAGAAAATTGAAGGATTATCTTTGCAATGTCCATTAACTAGGTTATAAGGTCCCCAATTGGAAATTTGTAGTGGTTTTAATTCACTCATATTTTATAATAGAATTAAATATAAAGTTTTTCTCATATATAACAGAAAAAGTAAACCACATTTGCTAAAACCATTTGTCTTGTTGGTTCACACAACAGAAAAATCAAAGTTCTTCTGGTTGTAATTGTTTCTCCATGATTCTGCCTGCTTCTTCTTCCTCTAGGAGTACACTTTACCTTCAAGCTAATTCTGCTGGACAAAGGTAGCTGCCAGGAGTAACAAGGAATGCATCCATTCTCATTCATATCTACTGGGAAATAAGTTTGCTTTATTTGACTTGTTCTTTTTCCTAAATCCAACTTAAATACCTCTATCTATCTGGGACCTCTTGTTAGCAATGGAGATGAAGTTCACATAACTGGCTTGCACTGATCGAGAATCCCTTTACTCTGAAGTTAATTTTCTATTCATTTTCTATTATGATCCACATAATTAATACTTCAGTGTTTGTGAACCATCCGATCTTTGCCACAACCACCCAACTCTGTCTCCATAACACAAAAGCAACTAAGATATCTGCACAAATGAGAATGCTAATGCTCCAGTAAAACTTTTTAAGGACACTAAAATTTGAATTTCAAATTATGTTCACATTATAAAATATTATTTTTTATTATTTTTTCAACCCTGTAAAATGTAATCACCATCATGGCTTAAAAGCCCTACAAAACCAGGCAGCAGGCCATATTTAGCATATGGGTATGCTTTTTTCTTCACTTTCTGTTCATAATGGAAAGAGGTAAAAATGAATATTTGGGAGCCAGCCATAATATGTGTGTGCATGTGCATGCATGCATGTGTGTGTGTGTGTGTGTGTGTGTGTGTGTGTGTGTGTAGAATGTCTGGAAGTCAGCCACTATAATTATCCCAAAGATCCTTTTCAATTCTAAAAATGTATGCTGCTATAGAATATTTAAATCTATATTTCAGTTCTTTGAGACCACTAGTAATATCCCAAATTAATGTAAAATGAAGTAACTGGTAAATTATCAATATATCTGATATTTCATTGGCAGCTTGCTAAGGTGGAAAAATGTACATAAAAATGCAAGTGTACTTCATAATAGAAGTTGTAAATTCAGTTATTAAAACACCAAAATGCCATCACTATAAAGCAGTTCCATTGCTAAACCATGATAGAACTCTCCACTTCAGTATTCTAACCAGAACCAAAATTAATCATATACAAACCATGTACAGGTTTTCCATTTTAAATTTCTGTTAAGCCATTCCAGGCTTGATAATTACCAAAAATAATGTAAGTTTCTAAGTGATAGACGTTATTTTAAATAGTTACATAAGAGAAAGTAAATATTTTTTAAAACCCATTCATCTGTTCATTAATCACCCCAAAATACACAGTCAACCTTCCTGAGATAAAGCTGCATCAAACAATACATTAGCAAACTGGAAGGTTAATCATCTTGCTTAAGAATCTTTCTTATTCTCAGGTGAGATTTAAGTATCAAAATGAATCTGCTTCAGCAATAACTTACATTGTTTCCTCTGCCAGTATACAGTATATTAGAATTAGCTGAAAA